TTATTGTTTATGTTGATGATATTGTTCTGATAGGGGATGACGTTGATGAGATCCCTCAATTGAAGGAATACTTAGCTAAGGAGTTTGAAATCAAAGACTTAGATAATTTGAAGTATTTCTTAGGCATTGAAGTAGCTAGGTCCAAAGACGGTATCTTCATATGTCAGAGAAAGTATGTACTTGACTTGTTAAAGGAAATTGGGATGCTTGGAGGTAGACCATGTGATACACTTCTAGAACTGGGTCAGAAACTAGGTGAGGATCAAGAGGGTGAGCCAGTGGACGGGGAGATACCAGAGACTAGTGGGTAAGCTTATATACTTATCCCACTCACGTCCAGACATTGCCATTGCAGTAAGCATGGTTAGGCAGTTTATGCATGCTCCTAGAACTTCCCACCTAGAGGCAGTTATGAAAATCCTGAAGTACCTGAAGTCTTCCCTTGGAAAGGGTCTCTACTTCTCAAAACATGGACATCTTGGTGTGAAAGGCTTTACTGATGCGGATTGGGCTAGATCAGTCACTAATAGAACAGTCAATCTCTGGATATTGCACATTTGTTGGCGGCAACCTAGTCACATGGCAAAGTAAGAAACAAAATGTGGTTGCTAGATCTAGTACTGGGGTAGAATTCCAGGCTATGGCTCAAGGTATATGTGAGTTGCTATGGATCAGACTATTGTTGGGACATTTGGGGATCCATCAGACCGATTCCATGAGGTTGTACTGTGACAACAAGGCGGCGATCAGTATAGCTCATAATCCAGTTCAACATGACAGAACCAAACATGTGGAGATTGATAAGCATTTCATCAAGGAAAAACTCACTAGTGGCACCATATGTACTTCATTTGTGAAGACTGGAGACCAACTAGCAAATATTCTCACCAAAGCAATAGGAAGCAAACCATTTTATAACATTCTCAACAAGCTCGGCTTGAGAAATATCTTCGCCCTAGCTTGAGGGAGAGTGTTAGAATAGGAAATTATATTCACATATGTTATTATGGTTTGATGTAATGGGCTGTAATAAGCTGGCTCATAACTCATGCCTTATGGCACTCCTGTAATTATGTTTTATTCTTAATATAAAAGGGAATGAGGTCTCACTCATTCCCTATTTCTTTCTCTTCTCTAAAATCTACAATACAACCACTATACAAAAGAGTTCTGTTTTATTGGTGTTTTAAGCATTAATAGGGCCTCTTTTCGAAAACTTTAATGATTTAACTCCTAAAGAATAGCTTGGCTTTTATGAGCAAGGAGAAGGATTTAGAGGAACAAGATGGAGAATATTTTTGGTTTCTATCTGAGTTCATTCCTTCAGAACTGCACCTGAAGCAAGGTTGCCATACATTATACAAAGTTTCAAATTTTTCTAAAAAATTTGGAAATCAATTCTATTGATTAGACTTATCGACATGCATGTCCCATATGTAGGTTGTTGGGTTCTAATTCAACTTGGTCTAAAAATTCAAAATAGAAACTAAGGTCCTTTGACTTGTTGAAAAAATCTAGATCGTATAAATTCTCCATAAAACCATAACTTAGCGTACAATACAACCCATGGACCAAAACCATAGCCCTCGTCAAGTGAATTTTAAAAATTAGCAAATGATCCCTAACATTTAATCTAAGGAAGGAAAAGTTTTTAAAGGCGAATGCGTAAACGCCCTCATGAGTCGAGGCGTAAGTCTTAAGGCATGGTGGCGTAAGCATTTCAAATTTCAAATTTTTATATTTAGTAAATATTTTAAAACAATAAATAAATACATCAAAATTAAATATAAAGGTGTAAATACTTTTATGCTCAAGGCTCACTATAGAGAATGAAGCTTTGTTTTATTGAAAGTAAAATTGGTATTTTTAGTTTTGGTGATTGAGCTTCTCACTGAGCATTGACTTTGTGTTTTTTCTTAATTAGTCATTTACTTAATTTTTCCTATAGAATATAGTTGTAAAAAAGGGTTCTTTTTTATTTTTTATGTTTAAACCATCTACTAGAGTAAGTTTAACAAGACCCTAAGACAAACTCTCCATATGAGTACTCTTCACGTGCTTATGCGTAAAAGGCATACAAGACGCATCTACAGCGCATGTCTCAGATTGTGTGCGCAAGCCTTTGGGGAGTAAAGTCTAAAAATCAAAGCCTTGAGGCATTTTGCCTTAGCCTCGCCTCGAGGCCAGCATCGAGGCAGGCCTCAGTAAAGCCTTTTAAAGGTAATAAAAGATAAATAAAATTGTACAATAGACTATTGAGCTACAAAAAGTGCAGGTGCGCAAATGAATAGATGAACTTGCAAACTGAACCAATCGTTTTGGGACTATTCTCCATTTGGTTCTGGATCCAAAAAATCCCATAATTGACATGGTCGTTTCAGTTCTTGGTTTAGGGCTCAAGTAATGTGGAACAACTTGAGAACCAACCCCATGTATATATTATATAATATTTATTATAGATATAAATATTCTTGATTTGTCTTGATTACCTTGGCTTTAACCATTTACAAAAATCATTTGCATAGCATGTGTTGTTGACTTTATGTTTGAGTATTTACAAAAATTTTAGTGGACAATTGAAGTGTTATAAAATGCAAGTAGAACTATGGGAGCCTGAAGATTTTCAGTTTTGGTTGGTTGGATTCCGTTCATTCATTGGTTTGGTTCTAGGTTTGGAATTTCCATAACTCACTAGGTTCATTTGGTTTTGGGTCTAGCACTAACCCAACTGAACCCAACCCAACCAACACATGCTCACCCTTACTAAAATTTTTAAGTGGAGACTTAAAATTCAAATTAGAAATTATTAGATGAAGTCTCAAGTATGTTGTTTCTATATATTTATTGGATGTCTCTCAAAGAGTTTGACCATGTATTTTGCGGACTTTATGGTTAGGGATTTCTAAACTTTTTAGTGGGCAACTAAATATTTAATTAAAGTAGAACTGTTGGTCAACATGAAGCAACTTGAGTTTTTCATTTTGGGTGGACTGAGTTCCATTCATTGTTCAGTTTGGTGGTGTGTCCAAAATTCCCATAACCAACGAGGCCTGTTTCATTCTCGGTCTGGCACTAACCCAAATGAATCGAAATTATTAAATGAAGTTTCGAGTACTAGCATACAAAATTTTAGATTTGCCATTTTATTGTTAACATGCCCGACTTTATTCTCCCAGGGGGGGGACATGTAACTTCTGCTAGGAAGCAATAAGGACAGTATTAAGGGCCTAAGTGTTTGGAAATAAAATCAGTGGCCTGAGTGATTTGTAGATCAGGGATATGATTCGAGATGTTGTAAACTAACATTGCATTCTTACTTTCAATCTTTAGACTTTGTTGAAGTTAGTATCTCAATTACCATGTTCATTAGCAATCACAACATCTGGTGAAAACTTTCAACATCTGCTTACCGTCTTGATTTTGAATTATATAGGTTAAAGCTATCCTTTTGCTTTCCATAATCACTTCATTGATATTGGCAAAGCAACAGAGCTAGGCATCAATAGGGATTTTTTAAAATTGACATGTAGCAATTTCAATACCCCATTCTTGGATCAATTACTGAAATTTTGGTTGCGAAAATTTTCGTCTATACAAGTCACTTACTGCACAAAGGACTTGATTTTGTTACTGATGCTTACCAGGATTTGTCCTATACAATCAAACAAAAAAAGTAGGATCCTTTAGGTTGAAACTCAAATGGATGAAAGACTAGTATGTTGGTGTGCATGTTTTGATACAAAGTTTCTGATACTAAACGTGATGTAAGAAATGTATGAAAGTCGGGACTAATGGCTGAGGTATATGGTGGGTTAGGTTAGGTTTGGTTTATGGGAATTTTGTGCTCAAGAATATATAAATTGCTTGTTTTTAGACTAAGTTTATGGAAAGTTTTGAACAATTATTTATGGTTTTTGGAGTTTAAATGGAAATCCAATAGGTAAGGGAAGGTGTATGGATGGGGTAATTGAACAGTCATAAAATAGGATATGAAAATTGTGAGTTAGTTCATGAAGGCAATTGTTTTCTTCTTGATATAGAAGGAGAAAACGAAGAGGCAGTCTAATTTGAGGCACTCTAATTTTTGGCGATCACACCAAAAGTTCCTTGAGGATAACCATGTCCTAAGATGTAGTTGCTTTAAGCCTCTAGCTTTGGTACTTCTCATTGATTTTTGGAAATTATTATCTATCGAAGTGAACGATACATGCGTAGTTGAACAAGGGGTTGTAGCCTGTGTGGCTAGCCCTTTGGCTACCAAGTCTCTCCTAAGGAGAGGTCTTGGGTTCCACTCCTGGGAGTGGAATAGGAGGCAAGACTGGGGTGCTTGTAAGCATAAGGTGTGAGTTCAACTCATCTTAGATGCTAATCTAACAACTAATCACTGACTTTTGTTGATCAAAAAAAAAAAAAAAAAAAAAAAAAAAGAAAAAAAGTGTGAGTTCAACTCATCTTAGATGCTAATCTAACAACTAATCACTGACTTTTGTTGATCCAAAAAAAAAAAAAAAAAAAGGAAAGAAAAATACTTGTGAAGTTATATGTAGGTTGCTGGCTTGTCCTAGTTTTTTTAGGATAATTTAAGATCTCAAGATAAGAAAGTAAGAGACTGTTGAAATTTTATGGAGCTAATGAACACTTCATAGAAGACCTAACCATATAACTTAATCTATATGATACAAAAACCAACAATGCAGTTCATTTTTAATGAATGCAAAAATTTATTGAATGTTGTAACTCACGAGAAACAAACAATTTGCATAATTCATGTCCCATTCATCTATTATTAATTGTTAAGAATGATGATTTTTTTGCTAAATTGATGATTTTAGTTCTCAATGACATGACCACTGCTTTCCTTTTGGCAGTTACGCTATGGTGGTTGTCTAGAAAGAATACAAGAACATGGATGTTATGATAAAAACTTAAAAAGATTTATGTTGTCTATTGATTTCCTTGTCTGTAAACAAAGTTGACTCAATTCTGTTGCCTTATGGCAGTTAAATGTGGAATTTACATGTTTGGGAGGGAAGCCAAGGGAGGGTACAAGAGGCTTACATGAATTCCTCAAAGTGGTAGAAATTGTTGTGACACTGAGCTTGCTGTGTACTTGCTTGAGAATGCTGTGTTGCTCGACAAGATAACTGTCATTTCTAGACATCCATATTACATGTGAAGGTGGGATTTAAATGACCCAATAGGTGAGGGAAATGATGCTGCTAGAGAACGTGCCAAGCAGCTGAAAACAAAACTACCCCTAGGCACTGAATTAGTGAACTTAGATTGCAAAATTGTCAATTAACTATAAATTGTTGGCTGTGGTGGCATTGATCTATATATTGTGAGAATAGTTATGTTGTGTTAAAGGAATAGTATTATCCAATAGAGTTTTATAAAGTTATGTATTATGATTTTGTTAAAGAGGGGGCTTTGATGATGTCTTCTTTTATTTGCTACCAGATAGTGATGATATTGTTTGCATAATTTTTACTTGATTACTCCTGATTGCTGTGGAATGGCCATCTCATCTGATCTAGGTTTGCTGAATATATTTTAGTGTCTTGGGTCTGTCTTGCCACGGCTGTGAGATCATGAACTGTCTAGATGATGATTCTATGGTGGTGGCAGCCCTTTTTTATTTTTTATTTTGTTTATTTATTTATTTTTTTTGTTGCCCTTTTTTTTCCCCACATATATTGTTCTTTGTCTGGGCTTATATATCAAGCAGAAAACAAACTATGACAATGTTGCAAAGAAGAAATAATTTTAAAAAAATAATTCAAAAAAATGTGAATGCCCTATGTACTTTACTTTTTTCCTTCATTGGATTTAAAAAAAAAAACCATAGTTGCATTGTTTTGTAACATCACTAATTTAATATATCAGAATAGTTTGTAATCAACACGAATTTAAACTATAATTTGCATATGACATGTTGTGCCTAGATATTTCCTTGCGTTAGGTATGAGCACATGCACTAATGGATATGAAACAATCTTAATTTCGTGCGAATCAATTACTGTAAACCAAATAAAAACTGAGATAGAACTGTCTATTTGCAAATATTATTCGAAATATAATATTTAAACCCTGTTTTGACTATGTTTAACTCTTAAATAATAGGGCTGAGCAAGGAATCCGTGAAATTCGTAATTCGATCCAGTCCAGTCTAATTTGATAGGTTTGGATTGGTTTTTTGAATCCATGGTTCGGTTCCGGATTGAAGAATTAAAAATTCGTAGTCCACATATTGGTTCTGGATTGAACTCCACAGTTCTGGACTGGAATCGATTCGGACCGTATATAAATAGTCTATATTTTTATTATACATCCTCTCCATAGTATCTTCTCTTATTCCATATAAAACCTAAACTCAAACCTAAACTCGCATCATATCTTCTTTTATTACTTTTGTTAATTTTTAGTTTTAATTTGTAATGGTTTAAATACTTATGATGAAATCAATTTTCTTATAGTTGTTTAAATTCTAGAACAGTATGTCGCTATTATAGAAAGACATGTTACTATTGTGAAACTAATATAGCGTTATGTTTATATTTTTATGAAATTAAAGTGTTATATATATATTTTTTTGTTATTTAATTATGTGAATCCATGGTCCTAAACCGATCCAATCCGTGTTTAAATGGATTGGTTCGGATTGGTTCCATGATTTAAACGGATTGGATTGATTCTAATTTTTCAATCCGGACCATGCTCACCCCTATTAAATAACTCAAAGTTTTGGTTTGAGAAAACAACAGTTGAATTCAGAGGTTTACCATTGTGTTTAAGGAAGGAGTTAGTTTACCGCGTCCTTTCGATGCTTCTCTTAGCTTGATTTTTATTTTTATTTATTTATCAGTGCAAGTCAGTCGTTTGATTAGCCCTTATTGGAATTAGCCTCGCCATCCTTGCAAAGCACAAGTGTTTATCCATTAATTCAAAATTTTAGGGTAAATTACTAGTAGGTCCTAATATTTAGATTTAATTTTCATTAAATCCTATCAATTCTTCATGAAAGTTGGTTCTAGCAAAAGATGATTAGTGACATTTTGTTGTGCCAATTTTTATTAGGATCTGCATAGAAGTTCTCTTAATTCAATTCTCTCTTACAGAGAGTTGAACCCGTGACTTTCCATTTGAAATTAAGCCATTAAGAGAGTCACGGGCCAATTATGTTAGGCCTAGTAAATTCTTCCCGTGACTTTCCATTTGAAACTAAGCCATTAAGAGAGTCATGGGCCAATTATGTTAGGCCTAGTAAATTCTCTTAACTTGACTATGGTTTTAGTGGATTGGTTTTAATCATTATAGTTATTAATATATTTATCAAAATCATAAATATTATTTTCTTCTTTTTTTTTAATTATAATTAATTCAATTTATGTTTTCATGGGAGCGAGAAGGGGTGGTGGCGGCCAGCACCATTGGAACTTAACTAGTGACAAGCAGTGACAGTGAGGAAGGGTGGGTGAAAAGAAGAAATTTTGTTTGTGTGGAAGAACAACACAAACTAAGAATTCAGTCTTAAAATTGCTTACATGATAAACTAGGAGGTGGGAAATGGAGAGGGGAAGGAGAGAAGGGAAGAGGTTGACTCTTTTTATCAGGTTGATTTATTTCTTTAATCCAATATATTACGGATAAAATAAGAATTCAGTCTTAAAATTGCTTACATGATGAATATGTAGGTTGAATTATTTTTATATGACTCGAACCACATACAAAATTATTGATTTGAGTTGACTATTTTTCAACATGAATACGATTATGACCCACATACCCGTTTAATGGAAAATTAATTATATATTTTAAGATTAATTACACTAAGATCCTTTCAACTATTAGCGAATCACTTTGACCTCATCATCTATAAATCCACCATTTTGACCCCTCAATTATATTAATGTGTCATTTTCACCCCTCTAAACCAATACGATTTTTATAATGGAGGGGTGTTTGTATAATTAACCCTACATTTTAATATTATTTCTATTAGAGGTACCATGATTTGAACATCATGATATGTTCAAATCGCATAGTAACTCGATTCAGTTAAATAAAGGATTGGGTTTTTCTCTTGAGTGTTCTAGGTGCATTTGTTCTTAGTATTGCACAGAAACACCTACCATTACACCTTCTCTTGGCTATTGAGGTTCTAAGGGATTCTTTTCAAAGTTTTGGAGCTGGTTTGGAGCTTAAGGAACTGTTGGAGCTTCATTTGTGAAGAGGGTCTTCAAGGGTAGGAAGTTTGTCCCTTTATTGCCCATTTTCGTATACTATTTTTTCCTATCTTAGAACTATTTTTTAGCTTAGTGTATAATATAAAAAAGTTCTGTTTTTAGGCCTTCTAAATAGTTTGTTTAGAGTGTTTTGTGGTTTGGAGGTGTTTGACCCCTCTTAGGCCTTGAGAGGCCCCATTTTGTGCTATTTTGAGTGAGCTCCGGGATCTTGGTGTTTGGACCTCCTCACCACTGAAATCTTGAGGGATTTCAGAGGTGAGGACGGTGCCTTGAGGTCCTAGGGAGGAGAGGGCCACCCCCTCTCCTTGTTGTCCTTGAAATGGACCATTTTTGGCCTCTTGAGGGAGCACCTTGTTTAGGCCCAAGTTTACCATGCCTTAGCTGATTTTCATGCTTATTATGTCATAATATGCCTCTGTTTTTAGTTGGTTTTGGTACACCATGCATGCTTAGCATACCTACCTTGTAATGCCATGTTTAGGCCTTAACATGCCTTAGGTTGTAAACCATTGTTCAAGCATGTATTAGGTCTAGCTTTGTGAAGCTTTTGTGCTTATTTTGCCATGCTATAAGGTATGCTAATTGAAAATGACCCTAAACTAACCATCGAAAGCGGTTAAATAAAAGGGAGAAATAAGTAACCATCGAGATATGCCCTAAACTAACCATCGAGATATGCCATAAGGTTTGGAAGACATGCACACACATACACGTACACTTATTACAACATAGCGCCCTCTCAACGAAGGGTCCGAATAAATAAGCTAAGCCAATCTAAGCTAAGCTAACTAACTAATCTAATTAAACTAATTAGACTAATTATTACAAACCAA